GCTGAATGCTGGTCAGCTGTTAAAGCCGAGGCGAACAAAATGAAAGAACGATGGAGCAAAAAAATCGTAAGATGTCTCTCCGGGATCAGGTTCCGAACGAAGTAATTCGACAATGTTCTGGATTAAAAGATGCGATATCTGCCTGAAATGACGCCACAGGCCGGTTATGCATCCCAATTAAAGGAGAGCTGGTGGACGACAAGAATCAAAAACTAGGTTCCGCTGGATCGACAAAGTTGACTCGGTCGTACAAGAACGCGAATGGGCGGTCTGATACAGTCAAATTACTTTGCCAGAGGAGAAGGCAGAAAGTGAACAGAGAACACTGTAGCAGGGCCGACTTGTGTTCTCGGCACATCTACTCAATCTAGCAGCAGTCGTATAAACAAAATCACTCTTCAACGAATTGTGTTGCATCAACATTAATGGAAAGTGTCAATGAGATATCATCTCGTCCAGAGCGCAGGAATCAGGCGTTGCGAGGGTATAAACATCAATGAAAAAAAAAACAAAAAAGCATGCTCCTTTTACGGACGAGAGCGTCGTCCTTACAGAGTGAAAGAGCAAATTGAAACTTCTAACAAAAACGGTGCATTTGCTAAAAGAATCTAGCGTCACTGAATTGGACATGAACGTCTCCATAATGGATGCACAACGAGCAGTAGTCCCAAAAACACATTCGAGTGTTAATGGCAAAGACTTCGAAAAAGTTAGCAATTAAACAATCAATCTAAAAATATTTAAAAATTAAAAAATTGCTTCAAAAATAACTGAAAAATTATTTACTAACATATTACCATAAGACTACTACGACTAGGCATCCAGATCTTGGGAATGAGGTCGAGGTTCATTTTTTCGGCATGCCACCCTTTCTCCTTCATATCCCATATCCATTCTTCGAAGTGCTCATAAAATGGACTGGAAACGCCAAGCGAATGGGCAGTGAACACCAATCTAAATGATGGACGGTAAAAAAATGCAAACGGCCAGTTGCAAACAGCAAAAATGCGCAAAAAGTTAAAGCCGTAAATACAAAAATATGTTGAAAAACGCCTACCAAAATTTGTTCATTTGGTACCTGGAATCTTTGCATTCAGTGATCAAAGGAATTAAGTCGACACTATATTAAAAAATATTAATCGAAAACACGTGCTCGTACGCCGGAATGTATTAGCAAGAGCGTAACTCCTCCAAAACCGAACCGGATTTCATCACTTCCTTGCTCCTAATTGCAAAATAGTCGTTGAAGGCAACCACGGTTCAATGGTATTTGTGTTCCTGCAGTGTTAGAATCAACTTGCAACCTTATTCATTAAGGCCACACTGCGCTCATTACGAATCATATTTCAGTAGCTGGTACTCCATTTATGCTACCGCATAATTATCAAAGCATGTTTATGTTCGTTTGTCGGAGTATGTTAGTTAACCCAACTTCTGCAAACCGAGATTTCACGGTGAACTGAACCGCCCCTTTGCTCATTATTGAGTAGGAACCATTTGAACAGGTCATGACAACATGATTTTTGAATTGTAAATAGTCTTCTTACGCAATGCGACCTCACGAAATCACTGTTCCTCATATGCCACGCTGTTTACATAAAAGTAGGGGTTCCTACGTGACCAGCGCATTAACAAACTCTTTACTACTCAAAACCTATATTTAATGGTGTAGTATCCCACTCACTGCTTTAAATACTTATTTATCAGACGGGAAATACTCCATTCGTTCACCATTACGCTCACCAACTAGCCAAAACGAAATTGCAACTTTACATAGGAACTACTCAGCAAAACAATTTTTCGTCACAACTATTTCATCAAATAGGGGGCCGCTAGACAAAAACAAATTATTTTTCTCCACATACATCGATTATTCCTTACAGCTTCATATTTGTTTACAACATTCGCGCAACTTTTTTTCTGGTCATATTTTTCATCGATTTCAGGATAGCATCATTATTTGGACGATATCTGCTAAGTACTCATCATGTTCCGTTTTTTTCGCGTGACCCAATCAATGGAGAACGTTTTGGGGTTCAGTTTTAATGCTTCTTGCGCCATAGCTAACGTGTCCCTTATAACGGTACTCCGGATGGTGCCTCATCTGTTGCCATAATCCACTGATTAAAACACTCGCATTTCAAGGAAAACAGCTGATGCCCATATTTCTTGAATGTGGCCAACTGTTCAGCTCTGAACAGCATTAGATGTCACATTACATTTCTGGATGAAATCATTCAGTAAAACCAACTGCATAAAGAAATTTCTAAAGGACGTTCTCTACAAAGTGGGGCTCGTTTGATCATCATCTGCATGCCAGCAATAACAAAGATATCTCGCAGATGTTTTTCTCATTAGCATCGTCAATAAATAAATTCCAAACAAGCTTTAACCTAAAATAAAGCAGAATCTCAAGATTAAATACTGCATCCTAGGAAGTTCACAATCTCAGAAGATGCTTAATATTGTTTTGTTTAATGTTGCTTATGTTGTCATGGAATTTGGTCCTGAAGGATTTATTGACCACTTAATAACATATTTCGGAGTGCGAGCATATTTTGTACATATATATCCGTAATAAGATGCGCATCGACCAATGAAATTATGGTAAGAATCTATAGGATATGCAGCAG